CTGGCATAGATGTAACCTGTGTTACATTGTTTCCTGCCTAGGATGATGAAAGCTGGATCTCCTTGACTCTACTCATAGAATTTTGCTTATGCCTCCTTGATAATGGCAATGCAACTCTTCCTGTTATCTCCATATGAGGGTACAGCTCTAAAACTCAGTTTAACAGTTCTGAGGCCGGCTGGTAGAAAGGTTTCCCGAACTCTGTGGTAGCTCTCAGAGAGGCTGATTCCATCGACAGCTGCAAAATATCAGAGTATTAACAGTGCCATGTTGCGCATGGATGGTGTCCCTGTTAATGCTTTTGGTGTGCATTGTCAAGGCCACATAAGGAGTCCTATGTCACGGCTTCGGGTTAATTAACAGGATTGAGACAACTGCATAGCTCATTGATTAGAAGGCTGTGCTCTATCTATGAATGAGTCAAGTTCTCATTAAACCCAAATCATGACCAAAGTAACCAAAAATTTAAAACCTAAAAAACCATCCCCACCACCTAAATATTTTATTATATCTTTTACAAATATTTGCGGTCTATGAAGCAACTTTCCATCAGTTGAGTCTTACCTCCTGCAAAACTCACCAGACTTGCTTGCACTCAGTGAAACAAATTTAAATTTTGCAATACCTTCTTCAGATGTCAGTGTTGATGGGTACTATCCTTTGATTCGTAAAGACTCAAATATTCACATGCTAGGTTTAGGGGTATACATACGCATTAATTCCCCTATTTGTCGTGAAATCAGGTTTGAATCCTTTGACCATTCTTTTAAGTGCTTTCGCCCAGCACCTCTACACTCTATCACCTTTCTCTTTGTTCTTTATCATTCTCCTTCTTCCCATGATTGCACTCTTTTAGATGTTATCTCTGATCAAATTGACCATGCCCTCTCTCTTTACCCCTCTGCCAATATTGTTGTTGTTGGTGATTTTAATGCCCATCACTAAAGCCTTTAACTTCTGGGTTTCTCAATCTCTTACTCAGATAGTTAACTTTGTGACTCGTTTTCCTGACAACCCTAATCATTTACCTACACTCCTTAACTTATGTCTTGTCTCTGACCCTAGCTTATGTTCAGTTTCTCCCTTTTCTCCCTTAGGTGGTTCTGACCATGCAATGATCTCTATAAATCTTTCTTCTCGTACTTCTTTTTTGGGCTCACCTTATCATCGCACCACCTACTACTACCCTAAAGCTGACTGGGATTCCTTTCGTGATTTTCTTCGTGATGGTCCTTGGGCTGATATTTTTTCTCTCTCAGCTGACAAATGCGCCTCCTACGTAACCTCCTGGATTCAGGTTGGAATGGAAGCTTTTATTCCTTCTTGTCGGTTTCAAGTCAAGCCTCATTCTACTCCATGGTTTTCTCCTTCTTGTGCGGCTGCTATATCCAATCGTAACCATTTTTTTCATCTTTTTCAAAAGAACAACTCTCTTGAGAACAAATGGCTATTTAGTATTGCAAGAAATCGATGTAAAAAGGTGCTTTCTGATGCTAAACTCCATTATTCTCAGTTCACTAAATCTCAAATCTTATCGCAGAAGTTAGGCTCTAAAGACTTTTGGAAAATCTTCAACAGAATTATTAACAATGGTAGATCTAACATTCCATCTCTCATTCATGGGACTGATCTTATTACCTCTCCCAAGGATAAGGCAGAACTATTTGCAAAGAACTTTTCTTCTAACTCCACTCTTGAATCTTATGGACATTCTCTTCTTTCCGTTCCGGTCAAACAGGTTGACCCATTGTGAGACATTCAAATCACTCCGGCTTCTGTTGCTAAAGTCATATCTCAATTAAACTCGTCTACAGCTTGTGGTCCAGACAACATTCCTGTCACAGTCTTGCAGAATTGTTCTCCAGAACTTTCTTCAATTCTCTCTAAACTATTTAACAAGTGTTTGACTGAGTCTTGTTTTCCTGCTTGTTGAAAAATGGCATCTGTGGTTCCAATATTCAAAAACTCTGGAGAAAATTCTGACCCCTCCAATTATCGTCCGATCAGTCTTATTTCTGTTATTAGCAAGGTCTTTGAGTCTTTGATCGACAAATTCCTCACATCTCATCTTGAGTCAATTAAACTACTGTCAGACAATCAATACGGTTTTCGATCCTCTTGCTCTACGGCCGACTTGCTAACTGCTGTAACTGAAAGATTTTATCGTGCATTAGATGGAGGCGGTGAGGCTAGGGCTATTGCTCTCGACATATCTAAAGCTTTCGACAAAGTTTGGCATGTTGGTCTTCTCCATAAGATTGCTTCATATGGTGTTTCTGGGAAAGTTTTTGAGATTATCAAATCATTTCTTTCTAACCGGTTTATTAAAGTCATCCTTGAAGACCAACACTCTTCTTTATTTCCAGTAACTTCTGGGGTTCTCCAAGGTTCCATCCTGGGCCCTGTTTTGTTTCTTATCTACGATCTTTCTGACAACCTTTCATCTAAAGTAGCTCTTTTTGCTGATGACTCAACTTTATACTCCTGTCTTGACAAAAAGTCCTCTCTTTTCGATCGCCTAGAACAAGCAGCTGATCTTGAATCCGATCTTACTTCAGTAATAGATTGGGGTTCACAGTGGCTTGTGAATTTCAACTCTAAAAAAACCCAGTTGCTTACTGCAAATAACTACCGTAATATGGTCAACATTCCTATATTAATGAATGGCAATCCTCTTATTGAGTCCTCCTCTTTACGTCATCTTGGATTATCGCTTACTAATGACCTTTCATGGAAACCATATATACAATCGATTGCTAAATTAGCTTCTGCTAAGGTTGCTTCTCTTTATCGTGCTCGCCATTTCCTTACTTCTGATTCCATTCTCTACCTCTACAAATCTCTTATTCGTCCCTGTATGGAATACTGTTGTCATATTTGGGCTGGTTCTTCTAACGATTCACTTTCTCTTCTTGACAAGGTCCAAAAACACATTGTAAATGTTGTTGGACCTAGACTATCTGCTAAGTTTGAACTTCTTTCCCATCGTCATAAAGTTGCATCTCTTTCTCTTTTCTACAAATACTATCATGGTCACTGCTCAAAGGAGTTATCATCTCTAGTTCCATCAACTAAAATTCATTCTTGTTTTATTCGTCATTCAGCTAAGTCTCATTCATTTACTGTATCTGTCCCTGCATGTTCTAAAAACTTTTATTCATCTAGTTTTTTCCCCGCACTTCAATCCTTTGGAACTCTCTCCCATCTTCATGTTTTCCTGACTCATACAACCTTCAACTTTTCAAGTCTTCTGTCAACCGTTTCCTTGCTCTATAACTCTGTTCTTTTTTTTTCCTAGTAACTCCCAACTTGATAGTGGTTGCTTGCAGCCTTGTTGGGAGTGAATGCAAATAAAATAAAAAAAAAAAAAATGATTTAAGTTGTCTGAAAAGCAAGTTGGAAAGTTGACTATTTTAGTTAGGGATTGTAAAGGCAAAAGTTGTGGGCTTTAATCCCTGCAGAGTCACTGACACTAGAGCCAAGCCATTCAGTGTGATGAACATTAATGTCACCAACAAAAATATTGGCTGATGGATAAAGAGAGAGGCATGATCAGAAATAACATCAAGAAGAGTGCACTTTTGAGATGAAGGAGAGCGATATAGAACACAGAGAAAGGTGATAGAGTGAAGTGGTGCTAATTGAAAGCACATAAAAGAATAGTCTGTGGATTCAAACCTAGTTTCTCAACAAATGGGTGAATTCTTACAAATGTAAATGCCCAGGCCAAGAATGTGACTATTGGAGTCTTTATAAATTAATGGAAGATAACTATCACAAGATGAGACGGCTGAACTTAAATTAGTCTCACAAAGAGCAAGTAGGTCTGGTAAACTTTGCAAGAGATAAGACTCAACAGAAGAAAAGTTACTTCGAAGGCCACGAATATTAGTGAATGATAGGTTTAGCGAATTTAGTGATGACAGTGGTTTTTTATGTTTTATAAATTTTGTTACTTTATTCATTTTTAAATTTGTTAAAGAACTTGACTCGAAACATAGATAGTACTCAGTACACTGTTAGTCCAAGCAATTGCTTCATACTATTAATAAACTTGGAGACTTGACATTTTCTAAAGCTTTAATTCTTTCTAACAAAAAAAAAAAAAGTGCACCATAATAAATACACCATGGTCACAAATAGAACCTCTTCTTAATATAAATGAGCCATGGGCACAAATAGAAATTCAAAACAATTACACTCTTCACAAAGTCCTTCACTCAGCTGAATTTTTTATAATAATGGTTATGGTCTTGAGAATTTATCTGAGCCAAAAGCAAACAACAAAGATATATGAAAATATTAAAGATTTTTCTTATAAAACATAATTTTTATTTTACTATAAAACTATAGCCTCTTTACCTTATTCTCATTTAGATCAATTTTTTATTATTCAACCATTTTTTTTTATTAGTCAACCATTTTCTATTAGACAACTGTTTTTTATTAGTCAACTGTTTTTTATTAGTCAACTGTTTTTTATTAGTCAACTGTTTTTTATTAGTCAACTGTTTTTTATTAGTCAACCATTTTTTTTATTAGTCAATTGTTTTTTATTAGTCAACCATTTTTTTTTTCATATTACTTTAAAAAATCTTGTTTAAATCTTGTCAAGAATATAATTTTTATATTAAGACAATAAATTAAGACAATAATTTTTATTGTCTTAATTTATTGTCTTATAATTATTGTCTTAATTTTAAATTAAGACAATAATTTATTTAATTTTTCTCATTTAAAAAAAAAACAGATAAAAAAAATCCAAGCACTCATTGTCAAGCTTAAGGTATTTGTTTTAAAGTCTGTGAAATACATGTGCTTAATATAATAAGTGAAATAAGTCATTTTTTTTGCTGAGTTTATCTTTTTTTTAATAATGATTTTATTCTGTCATACTTAGTACAACATTTTAATGATTTATTATGCAAACAAAACTTTAAAAAATGAAAAAACATTGCCAACCCTTAATTTAAAATAAACAGAAAAAATGCAACATATACCAGCTTTTTTTCTTTTATTCTTTGTCTTAAAATATCTATGTGCCCTTTAAATGCATGGTTCCATCTAAAAATAAATGTTATAATTGTAATTAACTATGATTATGGATAATCTGTTTAATCATTTATTCCAATACCTTTAAATAATAATATTTTAGTCAAACTAGGTGCAATGTACTTAATTATATGAATGATATCATTTCGAAATAAAAATTTTTTATAGTTGATCATTTTTAGTTAATTTACTTTTCTTTTTAATAAATATTAATGTATATAATCATTAGAAAACAAAACATATTATTTTACATAAAACATAAATGTTGTATATAATAATAATTTTCACATGACATCATCAAAAAAAAAAAAAAAAAAAAAAAAAAAAAAAAAAAAACTTTTTACCTAATATATACTATATATATATATATATATATATATATATATATATATATATATATATATATATATATATATATATATATATATATATATATATATATACAGTAGTATCCAAATATTTGCAGACAGGCTTAGTAAATTTGAATTTTACTGATATTTCAGCACTTTCTTCATTAAATCATATTTTACAACAATCTATACAGCTCATTAAAGATTTTTGATGAACTCAAAAATTTGCACAACTTACCCAAGCATTTCACACTTTCCCTAAAAAGTGCTAATTTATTGATGTTGTAAACAAATAATTTGTGGAAACAATTAAAAAGCTTCATTTATAAGCCATTGAGTTTACAGGGTATAAGAAATGTATAACATCTCCAATGAAAAACTTTATTGCAAAATCAATTCAAATGGAAATTCAATTTGTAAGACAGCACAATTTTATGGAGCCTGTAAGCCTGCTGGTAGACAAATTATAAAGAGATATGAACTTACAGGGTCCACAAAAATTCAAAAGAAAAAAAATAGGAAGATTAGGCAAAATAACAAACCATCAGGATAAAGCAATTGTGATATTGAGCAATTGAAAACCCAAATTGACAGCTATTAATTTAAATAAACAAATGAAACATATTATTGAATGAATTGTAGTATTTTTACTACAAATTTTGTTTGCAACATGCAAATGTGTTTTGAAGACATCCAGCCTAAAAGTCATCAATTTTCTTGCAAAACTAAAATGCCTAAGAAGAATTCACAACATCTAAAGTAGAGTAGTCAACATTCTTTTTAGTGATGAAAACAAGTTTGGATCAGATAGAAGATTATGATCCTAAATCTCAACTACTTACCTCAAAACATGGAAGAGGTAATGTAATAATTTTAGGATATTTTAGTCGAGACAGTGTTGATCCGCTTTATTTTTATACTGGAACTATTGATCACCAAATATACAAATAAATATACCATCAGGAAAATGATCCTAATAAAATTTGTGTTTTGAAATTGATATCCTAATCAACTGGCTTAGTTAAGATAAGATGTTACTGATTAATTATAAAAACATGTTGACCATCAAATATTAGGCATCAACTTAAAAAAAAAAAAAAATTTTTAATAAATTATTTCATAACATATTATTTATTTCAATTTTTTTTATTTAGCCAAAATATTTTGTAGAAAGTATAATATTTAAGATTTGCACAACCTATTTGAAATTTCGCTTTATGTTTTACTGCATTTTTTGGTTAAAACTAAATAAAATTTTTTTTTTTTAGTATATGTGCAATTCTGAAGCATGTTAAATGAAACTTGTTAAATTAATGAAAACTCATTGTTTTTAGTTTTATTTAATATTTGGCAGACATTTTGTCACTGCTTGTTGTATTTGGAAATTTTAATAAAAATTTATGATTTTTCAAGTTTATTATACAAATAGTATAAGAATAAACAATATGAACACATTTAATAGCGTTTATAACTAATTTAGCTTTTTCTGACCTGTCGTTACTTGTATGGACTTTTGAAAATTAAACTTATTATCAGTTGTGGTTTATTTTAATTTTTAGTTTCATATTATTTTAATCTTAGAATGTATAACTTTTTATGTATGTATAACTTAGAATGTATGTATAACTTTTGCAAAAGTTATACATACATTCTTCCCTGTTAAGGAAGTAAACAAACTGAGTCTTGCATTCAATCTAGGTGATTGGTTGAAAAATTCAAAGCTTAAAAGCTTCCTTTGTGTGTTGAAGTCTTGTTTTTTTACCATGTCAGTGAAAAAATGAGTTTGAAGGACAGCATATACAAAACTTCCTTACCTCTGCTGAAAATATAAATATGGCTAGAATGTTCAAATCACAATGTTGAACATACACCAAAATTACACATGGAATGACAGCAACTGAAAAGGCTGATAAACCATGTCAGCAACTAATTTAGCAAATCAAAAGATATTTCAGGAAAGTTTGGATGACCTGTTCGACATCGCCAATTAAGATGTGATGTCACTAATCAAATTAAAAAATTGAATAAGACTGTTACTACAAGTGCAGCGTGAAAAGAACCTAGGAACAATGGGAGGAATGGACAGAGCACCAAATAAACATCAAGAATTTTTTCAATAATCTAAGCATCTTTTAATCCAGGATAGGACAGAGTTTATCGACTTTCAGTTTTAGTTTTGGGGCCAAATGTAGTCAAATTAATATCTGTTCCAAAACTCCATGATGGAATTGCAATTACAATGACCAATGCTGTTGTTAATAGTGTGGATCAGTGGAGATTATGCATTCACATCAAAGGACTGTGTTTTGATTCATTGCTTTAAACACTGGAGTGAAAATTTTGTTTTTCAGTTGAAAGCTAAGATTAGTAGGGAACGTGGCATGTCGCAATTATATCTCTGAGATCATGTTAGAGAAAGTCATTAGTGTTCGTGATGTATCAAAATTACCAAATATGGAACTATTTGGTCATTTTAAGAACTTCTTGCCAAGACTTAAAGGGATCCCCAACTGCCAAGACAAGTTGTGTTTATATTAAAGAAAATGTTTAAAAAAAACATTAAGGTTAAATTTTATTGTTGTTTTTTTAAAGATATAAGTTTTTTTTCTACTACAATCAGAAAATAAAATATTTTTATAATTTTTTTACTAAATCACAAAAAACATATGTGATTTAGTAAAAAATTATACAAATATATATATATATATATATATCCCTTTTTATATTAAAAATTTATTATTTTTTACTTTTTTTTATTATTACTTTGTTGTAGAAGCCAGTCAAAATCATGACACAATTATACATATTTTGTGATTATTAGAGTTTGCAGGCAGAGAAAAAATTTTTGTTCGGCTAGTAGCAAACAATTTAATGCGATTCTTTGTTTTAATATTTATATTATAGCTATTTCTTGTATATTTTAGTACAAATATTTATTTTAACTTTAATTTAGTTTGATTTGAACGATTATTAGTAAAACAAGTCGTTTAATATTTATTTTCTACTTAGTTCAGTTTATATGTTTTATTAAAGTCACTTGTTTTTTTTCAGTTTATACTTTAAATTAATTTATACGCTTTTGTAAAATTAATCTTTTAGTATCTACTTTAAACCAGTACATTTAACTGTAAATAAACGTTATATTAAATTTTTATTTTTATAAATTTTATAAATTTAATTTTTAATTGCATCATAAACTTTTTTTGGGATTTAGAAAAAAGTTACACAATTAACATGATTTGGTGATTTTGGCAAAAAAATAATACGACATCTTGAAAGAAAAAATTTATACGATGACGTCATATACTGAAACTATTATGAACTAACACGCATTTATTAAACTATAAACTCTGCAGATTGCGGCTAACATTATACAGACCCCAAGAACAAAAAAAAATGGAGAAGACGAGCTTTAACTAAAACGATAATTTTAATTTTGTTGGTATGCATTCATTATTGAGTTTCAATCAAAAAAATTTAGCCCAAATGTTTTTTTTAAACATTTTCTTTAATACGAACACAACTTGCCTTGGTAGTTGGGGATCTCTTTAAGGTATGTGTCTGGACTGTTTGTTGGTGATGAAATCTTGGCAAAAGAAAAGAGATTGATGGGTATGTCATTCAATGTGAAGAGCCTGAGAATCTGCCAAAAGGTATCCCATTATTTGATGAATTGACCACAAAGAAATAAAGATAATTTTGTGACAACATTGTCACTGAGATTTTTTGAGATATCTGACAAGGCTTGTCAGATAAACTCTTGCAATATGGTCCTGAAAACTTGAGACTTCAGGAGGTATACAGTAAATGGATTTTTTCTGTTCGTAAAAGAGGTCAATGATTTAGTCAAGCAAGGCCTCACCTTATCAATGAATTTAATGGTTTTCAAACACGCAATGAAGAGCAAAAGCAGTTTTACTGCAAATTGTTGAAAACCATAGAAATAAATTCTGTGCAAACCAAAGCTAGTACTATTGAACAATCTAAGGATCAAAAGGAGCTTGAATAACTTGACAGCTTAACTAGAATAGCCCTAAATGACTGCTGAGTGTGATGACAAAAAGTCAATAATTTTGTAATCTGTATTTGTATATAGAATATAGAGCCTATCATTGTCTAAATTAAAATAGATAGTTCTACTACAGTAAAAGCAAGGTGCTCCAAGAAAACCTATCAGTCTTATCACAAAACACAGAGAAAAAGCATTTAACAAGGAGGTTTATGCCTTCTTCCTTACCAATGTCATATGTTAAGTGTTGTTCCTTAATTAATGTTAAGTGTCATTTTTCCATAAAATACCAAAACTTAGATTGTGCAAATACTATCATATCAAATCTTTATCTGTGCTCATTTGACAGCATCATATAATAATGGGTTAGGGAATACTGTTTTAACACAATTTTTAGGAACACCCTAATATATATATATATATATATATATATATATATATATATATATATATATATATATATATATATATATATATATATATATATATATATATATATATATATATATATATATATATATATATATATATATATATAAATTAAAAGATTGCTAATTATGTGAATTAGAAAAACCAGAAAGGAGTAAAT